GTCTGATTTTAAGAAACTTCTTCAGCATCTGAGCCTTGCTGCACAGCTTACTGGTCTCTAGTCCTTGAGCAACTCCTGTCCTGGTAATGTTTCTGACTTCTGCCCTGGCATCCCAGATTGTGTGTCTAAGTCCTCTGAATTTTGGTTTGAACTCAGCTTGCTTCTTGGCCCTGCTTCTGGTTGGTCCCCTGGTTTGGGGTTTGGTTCTTGACCCTTGGCTTCTTATTTCCCCTCTCTTGGCTTGGAACATAGATCTGCCCTCGGTTGCTCCAACACATGGCTCATCTCTGTATTCTCTGGTCCCGCTCCTGGTTGTATCTACTAGGCTGGACTCCCTTGTGGACTGTGACTGGGACATGCCTGGACCCAGAACAAAGGTATTTCGGGTGCTGGCTGAAGGGTGTGGTGCTATTAGCAAGAAATCTGTCTGCTGGTGTCTGACTCCTCCTGTGGTCTGAGAAGTAGGACTTTACAATGGTTGTCAGTGAAACATGTTGTATGAAAGTCTCTATCTCCTAACTAAAAGCAATCTAACAAAAACCTGAAACCTTGCCACTTTTATCAAAAGGGATAAGCATGTCCAGGGTTCTCATCTAGTTTGTCTGCTTTTAGAAGGCAATAGAGATTTTAGCCACATTTTAAGCTGGTTCCCTAAAAGTAAGAAAAGGATTCCCTAAAAGTAGGGAATCCTTTTGGTTCCCTAAAAGTAGGAGCTGTGAATGCTCTGCACCATTGCAAAATCAGACTTCTTTATTTGAGTGGCTAATGGTAATTAGTTTTAGAACAACTACATTTGAAAATTTTGGTCTCTGATCAGAGGCATTTGAGATCAGTTTCGCCCATCTTGGGCACCTATACACATGATGGACCACTGCTCCAACACCTGCTAATTAGCACACATCAGAACAAACTTGATTAATTGAGTCTGCTGGAGTGTGCTAAATAGCATGCTCTAGCAACCATCCAGTTCACTCAATTCATGTAAATTAGGGAGGGGTGCCTTGAGCCCAGTCAGGGATGTTTTATGTCCAAAACAGTTACGAACTACTGCTCTAGGGAAACAACTGAGCCCTGAGGTTAAAGGGCTTCCTTCACTGAAGGAAGAAATGTCATTTTTCCTTTGCAGCTGTTTACTTCCAACCCTCTCTCTCTCTCGCAACATGGAATGATGAAACATGGAATGATTTGGCCTTGATCTTACATCTCCCCCTACAGTACTTCAGAAGGCATTCACTCAGCATACTAGATCAACACCACTAGATGTGTAACTGTTTAATATTGTGCCCTGGGCAGTACTGCATCCCATTCCCTCCCCTTCCCCTCCAGCCCCGCACCTGTTGGCTACAAATGACCACCTCCAAGGATCCTTAAAATTCTGGTTTATTAGACAGAATGTGCAAAACTGATAGAGTCAAAAACCATAAATCATACCTTCAAATTATAAGGGCTATTGTCTCTCAAATACTCCAGGGTATTCAAGGAGCTGGCAAGCATCATAGCTCAGCCCCTGGCATGGATCTTTGAGAATTCCTGGCATTCTGGTGTAGTGCCCAAAACTAGAAGAAGGCCAATGTGGTGCCTATCTTCAAGAAAGGGAGGAAAGTGGATCTGGCAAACTTACAGGCCCATCAGCCTGACCTCTACCCCAGGGAAGGTCTTAGAAAAGTTTATTAAAGAGGCCATCCTTAATAGACTGGCTGATGCCAACATCCTGAGGGATAGCCAGCACGGGTTTGTTGTGGGTAGGTCTTGCTTAACCCATCTCATTTCCTTTTATGATCAGGTGACCTATCACCTGGACAAGGGAGAAGAGATTGATGTCATATATCTTGACTTCAAAAAAGCCTTCGATTTGGTATCCCATGATCATCTCTTGGCGAAACTGGCCAATTGTGGCCTTGGGTCCACCATGATCTGCTGGCTGGGAAATTGGCTCCATGGTTGGACCCAGAGGGTGGTAATTGATGGAAGTCAATCGTCATGGTGCCCTGTGACCAGTGGGGTCCCTCAAGGCTCTGTCCTTGGCCCCGTATTGTTCAACAACTTTATTAATGATGTGGACATCGAAGTCAGAAGCAGACTGGCCAAGTTCGCCGATGACACCAAACTTTGGGGCAAAGCATCCACACCTGAAGACAGGAGGGCAATCCAGGCTCACCTGGACAGGCTCAGTAAATGGGTGGATGAGAACCTGATGGTGTTTAACATCTAAAAATCCAAGGTTCACCATCTTGGGAGGAAAAACCTGCAGCAGCCTTATAGGCTTGGCAGTGCTATGCTGGCTAGCACTACAGATGAAAGGGACTTGGGGGTCATGATTGACTACAAAATTAACATGAGCCTTCAATGTGATGCTGCGGCTAGTAAAGCGACCAAAACGCTGGCTTGCATCCATAGATGCTTCTCAAGCAGATCCCAGGATGCCATTCTCCCATTGTACTCAGCCTTGGTGAGGCCGCAGCTGGAGTACTGCATCTAGTTTTGGGCCCCACAATTCAAAAAGGATGTAAAGAAGCTTGAGAGAGCCCAGAGAAGAGCCATGCACATGATCAGAGGTCAGGAAAACAGAACTTACGATGACAGGCTGAGATCTTTGGGGATCTTTAGCCTGGAAAAGCACAGGCTCAGGGGTAATCTGATGGCCACCTATAAGTTTATCAGGGGTGACCACCAGGATCTGGGGGAATGTTTGTTCACCAGAGTGCCACAAGGGATGATGAGGTCAAACGGTTATAAACTACTGCAAGACCATTTCAGGCTGGACATAAGGAAGAATTTCTTTACTGTCTGAGCCCCCAAGGTCTGGAATAGCCTGCCATCAGAGGTGGTTCAAGCACTTAAGTTGAACACCTTCAAGAGAAAATTGGATGCTTATCTTGCTGGGATCCTATGACCCCAGCTGACTTCCTGCCCTTTGGGCAGGGGGCTGGACTCGATGATCTTCCGAGGTCCCTTCCAGCCCTAATGTCTATGAAATCTATGAAATACCTCCCCTCCACCCACATGCACACATGTAGCAGTTGCAATAGAGCACCAGTGTCAGGTATACCTATCCTAAGCGTTGGAGTCTGCTGTTGATAGCTAGTTGAGGTTTCCTCCAAGCAGTGTTGTTTCCAGAAGGGGGTCACTGGCTGGTACTTCTGGCTGGGCAGGTAGGGTGCTGGTCAGGTCAAGAGAGCACTACCAAGGGTCACTCTTCACTGCCTCTTATCCTCCTTTGGCAGACATCCGTCCTCCACCCAGTTTTCAGATGTGCCCAATCCAGGGGTCCCTGACCCTCATGGGACATCCCCTGGGTGGCTGCCAGGGGACAGCTGTCAGCCCCCCAGGGTCATGTCCATTGGTACGTGCAAGTCCAAGTATCCATTGGTGATTTTGATTAATTTAGTTTTTTGGCATTGTCCAGGCTCTGAAAGCGGCAGATCAGGAGGTATTATTCAGTTCCAACAGCCGGTCTCTGGCGTTGATTAACTCAAACCCTCTTCTGTTCCTTTAACAAAGAAGTTTCAAGGGGTTCCCGTCTCTATATTGATTCTTTCCTCTTGTTAGTCTGTCGTTTAGTAGGTGTTAATCCTGGCTCCTTAACTCATTATTGTAACTAGCTACTGTCCTTACCAAATCACTCACTCACTCCCATTCATACAGAGATCAGCCCAATACATAGAGAAGGAAGTTGGATTCCACCCTTGCTACTATTGTTACAAGGTACAACTTCTAAAAAAAAAAAAAAAAAAAAAAGCATTTGTTACAAGGTTGAAAGCATAAAATATAAAAGGTGAAATGTGCTCCATTTTGGCATGCCCTGCTTGCCCAGCCATGCTACTGAACACCACAGTTTAAAGCAAGGTTGGGCAAAATGGCAGAGCAGCACAGAGGGCTGCTCCCGAGCCACTGGGAACTTGGGATGGGGGCAGCTTGCTCCAAAGCCAGGGCAGAGCCACAATCTGTAGCCTGCATACTCAAGGCAGGGGTGCGCAAGCAGTGCATCGCAGCTCTACCCCAGCTCCTTGTAGTGGAGAGCCATGATCCACAACTGCAACCCTGTTTAGATGGGACAAGCTGTTACATCTTTGTATCAAACAATGAGGATTTCCTTTCCTCAGTGTATGAGCCCTTTATCAGGTAAGGAAACTCCACAGACCATCAGATTTAGTGTGGCGGTGCACCTGTGGGTGCTTGCCACTTTAAGGGCCTGAGCAGGCAGTGAGGCAGCCTGCAGGTGACTGCAGAACCAATCAGGCGGTCACACAACAGCCAAGAGGCCCCCTGATTGGAGTAGGGCTGCACAGCCTCAGCATAAGAGGCAGGCCCTGAGGAGCAAAGCAAGTAGTTGCTGTAGGGATGCAGCCAAGGTAATAGCACCAGCTTGAGATTTGCTGCTCCCAGGAACATCAGGAGGTTCAGGGTAGGAACTATGGCAATGGGGGTGGGAGGTGTTCCTAGAGACCCAGTGGGGTCCCAAGGCCTAAGGAAGAGTGAGGCCAGCCTTGCAAAAGGGGCTTAAGAGTTGTGGGCCTACACAGAGGCTAGGCAACCCCCTGATTAGAACTGTCAGAGGTGAGCCCAGGGGCTCAGGTGAGCCCAACTGAGTGAAGGGTGGCCTCATACAAGATCTCTGGGGCTCTAGGCAATCCTGGGAGAGCTGACGGATTTATGGTGGGGCCCAGAGGGGATCCCTGTGGAGTAGACAGGTCACCTGCTATCAGACTGACTCTCTGAACCCTTGACTGGTCAATGCAAGAGAGCCAAAAGGCTGAAAGGAAGTTGAGCCCACCACGAGGGGCAGGCCAGGGCTGCGGAGAGCTACTGGCACCCCAACTGGCTTGGAGGTGGGGCCAGAGCCTAGATGATCCCAACGATCTGCTTGCGGGGGGTGACATCACAGCCAGAAGAGGGTAGGGGTCAGCCAACATGCAGGTTGCTATCAAGGAGGCTGAAGCTCAGCCTCTGGATGGAAGGCATCCTATAGGGGGTCTGAGTGAGTTGGGCCAGGGACTAAGGACATGTGATGTGGAGGAGGATGTAACAGAGGTCCCAAGAATGAGCTGCCCAGATGGAGGAATATTAGGAAGCTGAGTGAGGGGAAGAAGGACCAGGGCAGGTAGGCCTGCCGTTGGTCCTGGGGAATGACTTACTGGGGAGGATGGTGTGGTGGGGCTGCTTGTGGCAGGGCAATCCTCAGGAAATGCCACACCAGTGCCTCCCTAGTGTGTGGGGGCAAGTATGGGGTGCTGGAAAGCCTCAGCCCCTGCTGCCTTGCAGGTGACCCTGTGGAGGGGAAAGGCTAAGTGAGAACACCCTAAAAGAAATGCAACAGGCTTGGCCAACAACATAGAGACCCGGAGGGCCTAAGGCCCAAGGCCTGAGAGTGAGGCTTGGGTGATAGTGCAGTGGCCAGAGGGGCCCAAGGCCTAAATGAGAATGGGGCCTAGTGGGAGGCCCAAAGGAGAGTGAGGTCTAGGTATGTCGGCAGATGCCTGAGTGGGCAATAGGCTGAGAGTGAGGTCCAAGAACTTTGACAGACACTTGAGGCCTAAGGGGCATAAGACCCCGTAGCCCCAGTGAGGGGGCAGAGTAGTTACCCCAGTGAAGAGCCCGAGTGTGATGGGCTGGAAGCCTAATGAGAGGCAAGGAGCCCAGCAGGCATGTGGGAGTTGAGGCCCCAGTGAGGGGGCATGAATTGAGGCCCCACTGTGGGGCATGTGGCCAAGGTAAGTCTCTGGACACTTGAGGCCAAATTTGGGCCAGAGGTCGAGTGCGGCCCAACATTGGGGCCGGGGGGAGTTGGAAGCCATGATGGATGTCATCTGCAAGGCATGGGACACAGTAAAAGGAAAGATGGAGCCGTGTATTATGCCCTTGACATCAGGGCATTCAATGGGCAGCCTCCCTCATTTTTCCATCTGGTATTGTTACATCAAGGCATGGCAGAACAATCAGGGCAGACTGCCCAAGACTGGCAGGCAGGCCAATACTGTGACCAGCCCCAGCATAGCCCCCTGTCACACCTAGCATACATGCTAAGTTTATTACCCTTTCAGAACTAAAACAAATATAAAGCAATATGGTTACCTTTTACTTCAATATGATCAGATTAACGTACATATTCACCACCCTAAGACATAACAAACATGACATCAGCAGTTGATAAGTTTGTGAGGTCTTGTCCAGGGGCTCCCAACTCCTATGTTTAAGTTCTGCACAGGGTAGACTCTTGGTCCAAGGATCACTGTTGAGGGTTTTCAGAGCAAGCTACCCATGAATCAATGCTGGCTTCCCAATTTTATACCCATCTTGTTTACATAACTCCATTTCTTATCTTAACACACACATTTTTCTGTGGTTGTTTATTTATGTTACACACTTCTATAGCAACATTATATTTTACTTGACAGCTATTTCTCATATGGTTTGCCTTACCTTATCTGCCCAAGACTATATTGTTGCTTTTCTGTTCTTAACCAATTTCCTAGTATTCTTAATTTATCCTGACTTAGCAAAAACTGCATTTCACATACACAACTCCCATTGCTGGATGAGAGTCTAGCTACTTATATCAAGAGGCCTTTATTTTAGGCTAGCAAAGTGAGAGGGGAAGAAGAAGAAGAAAACATCAGCATTGCTTCAAAGCCTCTATCATAGGGGCATGAAAAACTCCTGATGAAGGGCTGTTTGTTCTTTCTGTCCCCTTGATACCCAAGGAGGTCATTAAAGGATATGTGATTAGCCTAAATCCCTTTTTAAATTATTCTTTAACTACAAGGGCCAGTCAGAAAGGTCTAGGAGAGATCTCCAGAGGTCCATGCCAAGATCCTAAAGAAACTAAAACATCACATGCAAAAAGCCCAAGGCAGGCAGGTCTGAGCTTTCACTTCTGCATGAGAGTGCTTTCCCACTGACCAGCTTGCGTGCAACAGAGGCTTATCTCTGTGTATGGGAAGAACTGTTGCCCCACACTCTGTACAGCCTGGAGAATGAAGGGTAGACTATGAGGGTGATGGTGTTGAGATGACAGCAAAAAGTGATGGAGGCTGTGCAACAGTAGCTGCACAACAAGTATGAGAACTTTTACAATGTCAGGATGCATGCTCTTGTTCACTGGTGGAAAATGGCCATTGACAGAGAAGGAGACAGTTGAAAAAAAACCTGTCTTTTCAGTGATAATGAACACAATTTCTGTGCTGATATAATATTTTTTCCATAATATTTGGCTGAGGAAAAAAGATAGGAGATGCTATTTCTGACTGACCCTTGTAGAAAATTCTTGGATGCAAATGTAGCAATATAATTGGTGGAATCCAAGGGAATGAGAGCACGGCTTGATGCATAGTTTGAAGCAGAAGGATTCTAGAGCATGAGAGAGAGCTACATGCTGCATGCTGAAGGTCAATGGTTCACATGAGCCTAGCAATCCATTGGGCTAACATGGTCATGGCATACCAGTTTCTGTAACTAAAGGTATATGAGGAAGAAGTGAAGCAGGCAGCATCTTTGGTTCCCAGCCTAATTTGGCTCTCCAAGTATAGTTGGAGTTTTCTTCAGCATTATTTCAGAATGAGACATCAACTCCTGTCTCTGGAGCTGTCATGAAACATCTTAACTGTTCTGACACTGCAACCTGACAAGCTGTATATTACAAAAGGGAGAAAACAATACCTTTTCCTTTAATGTTTTATACATCAATGGTTGGGGTTCTTACATAACCCTTTTCCATAAACAAGTCCTATGACTAGAATACAGTCTGTGATCACCATTGCTTATGTTAGGGGGTGAAGATGAAGAATGTATGCAAGTATCAACTAAGTCCCTAGTCACAGGTCCTAAGCACCCTTCTAAGTTTCCAAAAATGGCATTTCTTCCTTCCCCATATGGAACTGATCCATTCCAACCCTTCCTGTTTTAAAACTGAGACGTGAGAATAGGTCAGGCCCACTTATATCCCCACTCCATTTGATCACTTTTTTCCCTCAGCTGGTATAAGGAAGTATTATTATGAAGATAAGACAATGAGCTACCTTTTTACTGGACAGTCCTGGCTTTCCTATTGTTGCAACTTCTAGGGACACCTCCACTGCTGCAATTTTGCCGGTGAGTGAAAGACACTAGAAATCAGCTAGTCTTTAGTCACTGTCAATCCCAACTGACACTGGAACTATGACAGGCTACACACAAATCCCAAGCTCTCCACAAAATGTACATATTTATACATATAACCATTCAATTGCTAGTGAATGCATGGATGCACACAGTTAGCCTTTCTCTTGTCTATGAGTATATTACCATTCCAATCCACCTTCCATATTCCTTGACTATCTGTCTGACTTTCAAATCATTCAGGAGGCTGCACCTTGATTGAGAACCACTTGACTCTTCGGCATCTCCAAGTCCTTCCAGGATATTTACTGTATCTTTTGTTGTGTTCCTGGGATGAGTGTGATTATCAAACAATCTTGAGACAGCCAATGTATATCACTAATTCCTATGAGCAACATCTCCCATTGCTCTGACTCTGAGCATGTGTGATGATATGGGGGTATATATTTTTCATATATATTTATGTATAGATTCTGTTTGATACTAAGAATGCTGTGTGTGTAAGACTACAGACATCATTTTGAAAATGAAGCTCATTTGCCTTCTTGACTGTTGAGAGAGACCACACGCGGTAACAAGATAAATTCATATTTGGCAGAGGGCAAACAAAAGTGTGATTATCTCTTCAAATGGAGCACCTTTCAAGGAAGGGATATTTATGTACAGAGCAAGTCAGTTTTTCTAGTTTGATATCCAGAGGGAGGTACATAAGCAATGGTTGGAGGTTGCAAAAGTGAGGTTGTTCGGCGGTTATAAGAGAAGGGATCTGTCACTAGCCATTTTTAAGAGAGAACATGGAAGGAAATTGCAGAGGGAAAGACGCTTGTGTGTGTGCAAGCACTCTCGCTGTCACACTTTCCCTCTCTCCCTCTCTCTCTCTACCACATTCCGGAGGGAAATGTGTAGATAGGCTGCTAGTAAGGGCTGGGGAGGAGCTGGTGGTTGTAGTCCATCTGGGTACCAACTATATGGGTAAGGGTAGTAGAGAGGTCCTGGAAACTAAATTTAGGCTGCTAGGTAGGAGGTTGAAGGCCAGGCCCTCTGTGGTACCATTCTCTGAGATGCATCCAGTGCCATGCCCAGGGCCAGGTAGAGTAGACAGACAGAGCTCCAGAGTCTCAATTATGTGGCTGAGATGATGGTGCAGGGAGGAAGAGCTTAAGTTTATTAAGAACTGGGGGACCTTCTGGAATGGGGAGCCTGTGCAGGAACGATGGTCTGCACCTGAACCAAAATGGTACCAAACTGCTGGCATGTAACATTAAAAAGGTGGTAGAGCTTTTAAACTAAAAATGGGAGGGAAAGCTGGCAGGTGCAGAATAGCACGTAGTTCTGTTTGACACACCCTATAGAAGTGAAACCATAAAAAAATGGGGATAAGAAACAAGACAAGAGTAAGCAAATACCTTCACTGATTAAAAGGTCACACAAGTAACCAACCAGGCAACAATACAGAGTATGTATGTCAAAGGTGGAAGAACTCAAAGGTTAGCAGTAAAGAATTATATTGACGTAATAGGTGTCTCAGAAATATGGTGGAATGAGGAAAATCAATTGGATGCTGTACTACCAGGTTACAAATTATACAGGAATGATAAAGTATGTCGTACTGGTGGGGGAGTGGTCCTTTACATCAAGGACTCCATTAAGTCAAATAGAGTACATTTTTCAATTGATAGGATAGGTACTATAAAATCTCTGTGGATAGAAATTCTTGGTTTCAATAGAAAGAAAGTACTTCTGGGCATATATTATCAACCCTCCAGACAAGGAAGGCAGCAGTGAGCTAGAAATGCTAAGGGAGATGAGAGAGGCTGCAACAACAGAAAACACAGTAATAATGGGTGGCTTCGATTATCCATAACTAGATTGGATCATTTAACATCAGGCCAAATTTCTTTGTTATAAACATTTGCTTCCTGGAGCAGTTGGTCCTGGAATCTATAAGAGGAAAGATCCTTTTTGACATAGTCCTAAGTAGTACACAGGATTTGGTGCAAAGGGTAATGGTTACCACTCTGCAATAGTGACCATAGTGCAATTGGGTTTGACATCCATATAGGAGGGGAGACAAGAAGAAAATCTACCACAGTCATGTTTAACTTTAAAAAGGGAGACTACACCAAAATTAAGACTCTAGTTAGATGGCGTTAAAAGGGGCCTCTAAAGAGGTGAAGAATGCAGGCAGTCCTTGGACATACAATACAATTGGTTCCTGAAAACTACGTCTTAAGTCAAAACATCATAACTCAAAACCAATTTTCCCATGGGAAACAATGTTATAAATGGGGGCTTGGTTCCTGAACCAAGGCCCAATACCCTATTTTCACAAAAAATAACCCAGAATTTTGTACTTAGTTAATTATAGACAAATAACATAGTTACATTAATGTATTTATATTGTAAATAGCAATCATATTGATTTGGAAGGACTTCTTTGAGATGACTTTGCTGGGACTTTCTGAAGGGTTCTTGGCTGGAGTCTTTTCAGTAGTCCTGGCTGCAAGATTTTCCTAGAGTCTTGTCTGCTTTTTAAAGAAAGGGTCCAAGGAAGTTTGGACAGGTGTTCTCCAGGGAGATGGGCAATGCAGCAAACTTGTTCACTGGCATGGCGTGGCATTGGATCAAGCGTTGTGAAGTCGAAACATGTCAGAAAGTTGAAAAAGGGCGTCAATTTATAAACATTGTAAGTGTGAAACATTGCAACTCAAAACATGGCAAGTTGAGGACTGCCTGTATACAAACAGCATAGGAACTGCTTAAGAACACCATATTGGAGGAACAGATCATATGTATACTGCAAATAAAAAAAATAGAAAGCAGACCTAAAAAAGGTCAGCATGGTTTAATGGTTGGGTTGCTGAGGCAATAAGTAAGAAAAAGCCTTTCTTTCAAAAAGTGAAAGTCTAGTCCTAATGAGGAAAATAAAAAGCATAAACTCTGGCAAATCAAATGTAGAACTGTAATAAGACAAGCTAAGAAAGAATGAGGAGAAACTTGCTAGAGAGACAGAAGATAACAACAAAAACTGAAGACCTGCCAGGGAATCTGTAGGGCCTTTGGATGCTCAGGGTGCAAAAGGAGCACTAAAGCATGACACAGCCATTGCCAAGAAACCTAATGCATTCTTTGCATCTGTCTTCACTGTGGAAAACATTAGGTAAATTCTCTTACCATATCCACTCCTCTTTAGGGACAAGTCAATGGGGCTGACCCAAAGTGCGGTTTCAATAGATGAGGTTGTAGAGAAAATTGAGTAACTAAACAGCAGCAAATCACCAGGACTTGATGGCATTCACCCCAGGATCCAGAAGAAGCTCAGATCAGAATTTGCCAAACTCCTAACTGTAATATGCAACCTATCACTAAAAACAAACTTGGTGCCAGAGGATGGCTAGGTTGCCAGTGTGACTCCAATATTTTAAAAAATGACTCTAGAAGGGACACAAGGAACTACAGGCTAGTAAGCCTAACTTCTGTTCCTGGAATCCTGATGGATAATAAAAACAATAATAAAAAAGATTTGTGCAGTACATGAATGAACATGACTTGCTAGAAAGGAATCAACATGGCTTTGTCAAAAGGAAATCATGTCTCACCCACCTATCAGAGTTCTTTAAGGTGTCAGTAAACAGGTGGATCAGGACAATCCAGTGGACATCAAATATATTGCTTTCCAAAAACCCTTTCACAGGGTCCCCCATCAGAGGCTCTTAACTAAGTTAGGTAGTCACAGGATCACAGGGAGTATCCATATGTAGATTAGAAATTGTTTTACAGGAAGAAAACAAAAAGTGAGTATAAATGGTCAGTTTTCAGGATGGTAATAGCAGGGTCCCCTGGGGATCTCTTGGTACTGGTGCTAATTAACACGTTCATAAATAATCTGGTAGGGTGTGGGGGGAAGGGGTGAGTAGGGAGGTGGCCAAATTTGCCAGTGACACAAAATTAGGCAAAGTGGTAAAGACTGTGAGGAACTGTAGAAGGATCTGGTACAATTGAGCAAATGGGCAACTACAGTAAATGGCAGATGAAATTCAAAAGGAAACCGAAGCACAAAAGAAAACCGTTCCTGCAAAAAGGAAAGGTACCAGAAGGGCTGGCAAGCCCTCCTGGCTTAATAGGGACATTGCAGTCCTCTTAAAAAAGAAAAAAGAGATCTACACACAGTGGAAGCTAGGGATGGTCCTCAAGGAGGACTATACAATAGTGGCCAGCACTTGCAGGAAAATGATCAGGAAAGCCAAAGCCATGACTGAGTTTAGGTTAGCCACGGGAGTCAAGGACAATAAGAAGTCCTCCTTTAGGTATGTAGATAGTAGAAGGAAAACAAACAGAAGTGTGGGACCCCTGCTTAACACCATGGGACCGCTGGTAACCAACATTCAGGAAAAAAACTGAACTCTTGAATTCCCGCTTTGCTTCAGTATTTCACTGGACCAAAGGGAAAGACAAGCGAGATGAGGCTCATAAGGGTATGCCAGGGATGGCAGCCTCCCCACTGTGGATGCTGAGTGGGTGTAATACCAACTAGAAAAGCTAGACATTTATAAGTCAGCCGGACCGGATGGACTTCATCCAAGAGTGCTGAAGGAGCTGGTCAAGGTCATCACAGGATCCCTGGCAAAGCTCTTTCAGAATCCGTGGCACACAAGGGGAGATCCCTGAGCACTGGACAAGGGCCAGTATTGTGCCCATCTTCAAGAAGGGGAAGAGGGAGGACCTGGGCAACTATAGGCCAGTCAGCCTAACTTCCATCCCAGGGAATATTCTGGAAAAGCTCATTAAGGAATCTATGCATGATATGCTTGCAGAAGGTAAGATTCTGAATGACAGTCAGCATGGCTTTGTCGCGGGTAGGTCTTGTCTTACCAATCTCATCTCCTTCTACGACCAGGTCTCTCGCCACCTGGACATGGGAGACAAGGTAGATGTTATATACCTAGACTTCCCAAAGGCTTTTGATCTAGTGTCCCACAATATGCTTGTGGGAAAACTGGAAGCTTGTGGGCTCAGCTGCTCAACAGTTCAGTGGGTGGGAAACTGGCTACAGGGTAGGACCCAGAGAGTTCTCATGAATGGATCTGTGTCATCCTGGAGCGAAATGACCAGTGCTGTTCCTCAGGGGTCCGTGCTTGGACTGGTGATTTTCAACATCTTTATCAATGATTTGGATGGGGGAGTGAAAAGCTCACTGGCCAAGTTCATGGACAACACCAAGTTATGGGGCAGTGTGGCCACACCAGAAGATAAGTTGCAGATACAGGCAGACCTGGACAGGCTCAAGAGTTGGGCAGACTAGAACCAGATGAAATTTAACACTTCCAAGTGTAAGGTGCTCTATCTGGGGGCAAACAACCCTCAACATACATACAGGCTCGGTGGTGACAGCTTGACTTGCACCAGGGCTGAAAGGGATCTAGGGGTAATGATTGACCATTGTATGAGTATAAAAAGCGGTGGTCAGCAGGGCAAATAACAT